GAGAGTTATTAAATGCTCCAAATCCTGAGCTTGATCATGATACTTCTGGCCATGTACTGAATCCTGGCCACGAAGATGTGATATTGGCTCACCTATATGTGAATGCGACAGCATATCTCGATTCTGGAATTGCTGCTGGGGATGTTGATCAAATGGAAGTTGATCCCCAAGGTTAAAGCGGTTGGAAACATGTTCAAACTGCGACATCCGGTTAGCAGCCAGAGCATCGAGGGACATGCTGGGGTCAATTTGTGTATTTCTTAGGGAATCAATGGGCCAATTGTCTAATGAACCAGTAGGCTCCCCAATTGCACTATAAGACGTGTTTGGTAACAGGGTAACTGGTGTACTACTGCTCTCTAACTCAGACCACAACACACCAAACGGGTGCAGCTTGTTCTCATTCTGATTCCTAGTAGCAGCCTCAGTTGATTCAACAGGAATAGCAGAGCGGCCAGAAAATTCCATTGAAGCATCATGCATACTTGTAGAGGATTTTCCTGACGCATAACCAGAAACTCCAGCTTTTCCTGGGAATACTATTTCTGAAAAAAAAGAAAGCATTATTTAGTTATAATGAACACAAAAGAAATTAATATGGTTATAAATGCTTCTACACAAGCAAATGAGAACCGAAGAAAGAAATGCATTCACCCACATTGCACACAAATGAGAAAAGGTTAGAGAAGTCCAACTAACCTTCATCCTGACCGGAGAAGTCCAAAAAACTTCGGTCCTCAGCAGGCGGTGGTTTCACATAAACTTCTGACTCAGACTTTCTCTGAAGATTATTCTGAGCTTGAGCTATAGAGGATGAATAATTAGATTCTGCTGCAGGTGCAATTGTTAAACCAGTCTCTGAAATTGCTTCTAAACTAGCCTCTTCTAGCTCATTCTTTTGATCATGAGCACCTTCTATCTTCAAATATTGCATGACCCAGCCTAGATCTTGAAAAGGAGTTCCTTCTGGAGCATTTGCCAAACGAACCTGTAGGTCTGTCCCAAAAAACCCTTGTTCAAACCATGAAATAATGTCAGACCCAATAAATGGTCCCTGAATTACTCCTTGAGGATCAATATACAAGAACGTTAACTCTTCAGGCGGCATATCTCTTCCTGAGTGATTCACTTCAATATCTGGTTGCTGCAGCGTGCCCATATAATCTTCCTCAAAAGAAGAAACAAAGGGTTCGCTACCATCCAGCACAGAGGATTTCGTAAAAGCAGATCTAACAGCTTCAGGACTTCCATGAGAAACTTGATTAGCAGCTCCAACAGTACCATAACTTTCAGAAGCCATTGAATTCAATCTTGAAACACTTGAAGCACCCTCCAGGCCTCCATTGTGAGTACCAAGTAATCCTACGACAACAGTTGTTCAACTTTGGTTCAGAATATAAAAATACTAGCAAACTCATACGAATAGACTGGACCTTATCTAAACAGTACGTGATACTGAAAAAACTCAGTTGACTCCTATCATGCACATAACGGAATTGCTATTATGGATGAAACCATTGTCACCATTTAAAACCCCTAGCAAAGCACTATACACTTTCGTCTCACCTGAGTCAGGTATGCGGCATTTCAATGCAGTAACATCAAAAATACAAAGATCAGAGAAGCATTCATTATATTATCCTTGGTGGAAAGATAGAGGCCAGGCAACTAAAGACAAGATAGCATACCCAGACTGTTTTCACCTAAGGATTCTTCCCCAGGGGAAGTGTGAACTTCGCTACTAGTGATACTTCCCTTCCATATGCTGTTACGGCTTGCCTATTAGATAAGATACACGTCAACAAAGTCAGGAAAAGTCAGTTAGATAAGCTATAGAAACATTAGTGACACATACCTCTTCTTCGGCATCTGGTATGATAAAAGCAAGAGGTTCGATCAAAGCCACTTGAGTTATGGAGGCAACTTCCTCCATCTCAGTCGGTATCCTACCGAGGGAAGAATGCAGCTTCTGTTTTCTATACATGTCAAGCAACTTACCCCTTGGATACCGAAACATAGAGACTGAAGGGCTTTGTTTACCAGGGATACTTTCATTTGTTAACAACTCATATGCAGCAGCACCATTTAAGGTAGTTGAAGAACCCCTCCCAATCGCAGAAGCCCTTCCTCGGCCTACGGTGAACCCTAGATTTGGGCCCTCACTTCGTCCTCTATCCAGTCCAAACCCAGGCGCAGCACGAAAAGAAGTCGCCCCACCAGCCTGGGATTCCATCCTATGACGTGGCCTCCATTTGTCACGAGGGTCAGAGTCCCGTTCAGAAGTGGCACGGACACTGCTAACCACAGCTTGACTTTCAGTTTGAGGCTCTTCCTTGTCCTTGTTATTATCTAACTTCTCACAACGGGTTTCTTTCTCTTTGTCGTCAGGACCCCATCGAGATGACCACTTGCTGTCGCGACGAGATTCATGTACAGCAACGCGAGTATTAGCATCATGCCACCTATCCGAAGAAGCAATATTTTTGCTGTCGCCGGTTTCTCTGCTTGAGACATTGTCAATGCGACGCTCTGCTTTTCTTCGATCCCCTTTCCTCGCACTGAGTAAACCAGTTTCTCTTTCTTCTTCACGCCATCTGCGACTTGTTTCATTGTCAGGCACAATTTTCTTCCAGTCCTTCTTGTCTTCCGGTGCATCCAAGCGCCATGCATCCTTCAGATTTGAGTCACTTGGATTTCCCGTGGGCAGTGGAGTAGGAGATCGAACATCCTACCACATAGCAAGAGCATCAGAGGAATGGACAATGAGAAGAAAGAGCAAAAACTCATAAACAAAAATATAAGACAAAGAAAAGTGATAAGGTATTACCATCCTGCTCTCGCTTGATTTCGTGTAAAGCCACTGAGGAGACAACGGAATGCTGCTATCTGACGCCAATTCTAAAGACAAATTCAAAAATAAAGTAATCAAAAGGTGAAGGAAATCTGAGATTCCAAACGGAGACAAAGTCGGAAAACCACTAGTGTCCGAATTACAAGGCACGAACAAATCATTGCTTCTTTTTTCCAGATCCCAAAGTATGGAAAAGAAAATTCCAAACATGAAGTCAAGTAGGTTGACAAAGATAGATAGATAGAACCCTAATCGGTACATATTAGGTCAAAATTCAAAGCTAAACATTCAGATCCGGAAACCAACCGATTACATAAGTTTCTGGACATTGAAATCGAAAGAAATTCAAACAAGAGAAAGACAACTATAAGACTTGGAAAAGTACCTCTCGACTGATCAGAAGATTTGGAAAGGATGAGATCGTCAGGCAGATCGAACTTCGCTTCGGCCATGGCAGGATTGAAAGAACCGACTTCGAGAATAGGTAAACGAAGGAGCGAGCAGAGAAAGAAAAGTGGAGGAGAAAGGGTTTTGGAGAGATTTCGCTGATTGGTTTTTCGATTTGCCTTTGAGAAGAAAGGAAAGCTTTCGCGTCGAGATCGAGAAAGAGGAGAGAGTGAGTGAAAGGTAAGGCTAAGGAGGAGGCCTTGCGTGGTCACAACACCGATCCGATCATCCGACTTCGCTCAGTTATTATTTTTTTTTTTTTCTAATCTTTTTTGTCAACCCAAAATTATCATTGTTTTAAGATAAACAAACTACTTTGAAAAATTGGATTATTACTATAATTAATTTTGATAAACAAGACCTACCTAATTTTTTTGATGTTTTGTCAAGAAAAACTTATGATCCAATTTTGAACTTAATAATCATAATTTATACCA